GTGGTCGAGCAGGAGGTGTACGAGGCGCTGGTGGAGCTGGTGGTGGTGTACGAGGAGGTGTTGGAGGAGGTCGAGGCGGTGCAGATGACGATCATGGTGGCGGTGGAGGTGGAGGAGGTCGAGGTGGAGGAGGACGTGATGGTGGTCGAGGTAGAGGTGGTCGTGATGGTGGTGGTGGTCGAGGAGGAGGAGGTGGTCGTCATGGCGGTGGTGGTCGAGGTGGTAGTGGAGGAGGAGGTGGTGAAGGAGGAGGTGCTGGTGGAGGTGGAGGTCCAGGTGGTGGAGGAGGTCGAGGCGGTGGAGATGGCGATCATGGTGGTGGTGGAGGTCGAGGAGGTCGAGGTGGTGGTGGTCGTGGTGGTGGTGGAGGAGGAGGAGGTGATGATGACCATGGTGGAGGCGGTGGAGGTCGAGGTGGTGGTGGTCGTGGTGGTGGTCGTGGTGGAGGAGGAGGTGATGGTGACCATGGTGGTGAACGAGGAGGTGGTGGTGGTCGAGGTAGAGGTGGTCGTCATGGCGGTGGTGGTCGAGGTGGTAGTGGTGGTGGTGGTTGCGACCGGTTGAGCTGGCAGATGCGGACTGCGTGGAGGTGGATTGGGGCTGAACACACTGTGGAGCAGCAGCAGTTGGCGTCGCCCCCTAGGGGTGCTAGCGGGACCTACAGGGGTGGTGGTGGTGGTGGTGGTGGTGGTGGTGGTGGGTTACACTAAATTGGAGAGTCAGTGTGAGCACATTGATTGCTAATATCGCGATGTGGATCTACTTTGCACGGCACTCACTGCTGTCGCCGGTGGTCACGTTATTTTATGCGGGTGGTGCATCACGCACATCCAACACTGTTTTTGCGTTTTAGTCCGTTCGGGAGAGGCAGACAGGAAAGCTCGACCCCACGAAACGTAGCCACCTAACCAGCCAGCATGCGACAACCGCCTACCTGTACGTCACCGCCTGTGTAAGGTGAACGCAAGGGCGCGCTAATGTAGGTAGAGGTTTTCGTATGCAAAACTTGAAATAGTTTCGATACCCGAAGCTCAAACGCTCAGTTCGCCACGAAGGGTGGCGTGCCGACAACTGTTGAAACTTGCATATGTAGATAGATACCTTGCTGGCGGTTCTGAGATGTTTTTTTCGGTCATCGGTGTGTATTAGACCATGCGTATTTAATGTTTGGCTGAGACGTATCCCATCAAGTCCTGTCCACGCTGTGTATCTACACCATCCAAATGTTGAACATCAGTCTTTCAGCAGCGCAACGACTGTCATCCAAGCCCCAATTTGTTTGTTGTGCGCATTACAGCAATGCATGCATACGGTAGTTCTTGAGGTGGTGCCGAATGGCGCCAACACCCTTCCGCGTGTGAGTGAGACCACTACAAACGTACTTTTTCAGAAGGCCGAAAGTCTGCTTTGCATGTACACACTAATGGCATACATGCCAGCCTACGGTAGTGCAACCTAGGACTCTAACGGGAAGTACGCTGGCCGGTTTCGAAAAATAGCGCTCGTAGATACCATTGCTGGCAGAAACAACTACCTTCCATGACGACGTCGTCCCTCAATGCTGTTCTTGCCTTCGGCCTAAAAATGGCGTGAATAACAGTAGATACATTCGGCGGGAAGCGGAGACCCCAGCGCTCAGCAAGCGTGTGGTCTAACGTTTTCCCTGTTACACGGAATAAAATGTATACTCTACTTTCTAGCTGATTCTAAAATACTCGATGTTGGAAAAGTTACGCTCATCACCGAGAGTACAAAATATCAGCTTCAAGTGCATACCAAACTGGTACAGGAGCAACTAGTAGAGGAACCTAGACACATTTGCACCCCTTCTCCCCGATCCAGCCACCCCCTCCCCCCCCCCGTGCCCGTGAGACCTCTCTACCATCCAACGGGCCCAAGGCGTACGATGATGTAACATTTTCGCTAACCTCGGAGAAATAATCTTGAACTGGCAAGTATGAAGTCGTCCGGAAGTGAGTGGGAGGCTGTTCTTCTTCTTGTTGTCTTCACATTGAATTTATAAAACCGTTCCGGTCTCTGCTCAGTACGTTCTAACATCCGCCGACCTACCGGTTCAAATGACGCGGGCGCCTTGCTTCCGTGGTCACAGGCCAACTACTACATGTACCCAAAACAGGGTGCACACAGAACTTATTTCTGAAATAACAAGGGGAAAACAATGGACTCAGCAAATCATAAAATCTATACCAGTTTCAGTGAGCCAATCAAGCGTCGTGGTGAACTTGATTGGCACTTGCCGCAGTGGGTGAGGAAGAGCCACCGTCTGTGTGCACCCCTTTCGTATTACGCCAAACCATTGAGAGAATTCTAGGTTTATTTCAAATCACACATGGGACCCGAACACTAAGGTCGGGAAAATGCGCTTGGTTTACGAGCGATCGAAACAGGCGTCGGAAAGCAACCACCCACAATGCTACTCGCTGTGGAGAAGACGAGACATCTGGTTAGCCACTGCAAAAGACAGAGGGAATATCCCTGCTGGTGCATACGATGCCAACGCTGCAGCTGTGCTAAACCTGCAAGCTGGTTTTAGAGCAGAAAACGCGGAGGCCTTGAATGAATTGTCTTTCTTTAAATCGCTCATAGATGCCACAGAATCGTACGTTGGCGACTTATGTCATGAACTCAAAGTACCACGCGGTGACAGTGAGGACTGGGAAGATGCTTTGTACGACGCGATAGAACAAACAGCAGTGACTGACGCGGAGAAGGAAGGTTTTAAGCCTCTTACGAACCACATAGATTTTGCTGCAGCTAGGACATTCTTTCACCAATTGCACAAGAAGGTGGTGTTTACGAGAGTCGACAAAGCGGCCGACTGCATTTGTATCACATGTAAGGCGTGCTATATTAGGTTAGCCAAAGCAGAACTTGAAGGACCGGGGTATAGGACAGTACACGGAGAGTTGGAGTTGGTGAAACAGACGACCATTGACCGACAACATAAGTTTTTGGTGGATGAAAAGATACGAACGACTTCTTGTTAGATTAGCTTACGTGCTATCATGTGTTGTTTTTGTTTTGATTATGTTTCGCTTTATTAGGAAGTGTTTCATTCTTTTGTTCAGCAATTCCTGAAATGTTGTTATGTTGTGTAATGTCTATATGATCAATAAGCTCGCTGGTATGTAATTAATGACGTAAAATTCCCGTTCAATTTGCTTTTTGCGCTACCAAAACTACACACACATACTTCATTAGGAGCTTGATAGCTTATAGCGATGCGAAAATCTGTGGGCAACCGCATATTTGACCGTCGAAACCGCAAGGGGGAACACTAAAAATGAAACGTGTCCCTTGCAATTAGGATAATCGATTTATGTGCACCTTTCATGAAAAACTCCCATATACCCAGGTGGCAAACGGAAAATTGGGAATTCCGACAAACTCCGCTGAAATCTGCACTTCAAAGAGCCAGCCAGCCACATCAATCTGCTGAGAGGAGCACGCATGCAGTCATTCCGTTCTTAGCTCAGCCACCCACCTCTCTTGGATTGCGGAGCTAGCCGGCATTTCGGATCCAGCCGTTGTGCGATACTTATCATCTCCGATAGGACTTGAGGAGGACGGACTGTAAAGCTGTAGTAGCATACTGCACTGCGTTTGCTCCTTGCTGCTGCTTTTGGCTGACCCAGGACTCCGAAAAATCCCCACAGGTACGAACAAACTCCTTTGTGTGTGGTCGAAGGATGGACTACGCTATCTATGTACAAGCCCAACATGCCACCATGCACAACATACTGCAGCTGCCTTCACCTGTCGCCGCGCTTCACCTGTCGCCGCCATTCCACGTCTACCTGTCCATGACACATGCCGCCAACTGATGCGACAACTGATGATGCGACAAGACCTGGGTACAACACGGACACAGGGAGTACTCCTCGTGCCCATGCACCGTCAAAATTCCTTACAAACTAGAACAACCTCTTATTCCTCTCATGCCAAATACAAATTGATGTTGTAACATACATGAAATGATGGACCCTGTCTTTACTTGTGGTCCACGCTCCCTACTAATGGGAGAGGTAGCCATACCTTCTGCCTACACACGGGCGAGATAGGCAACCATACCCACTGCATTTAACACACACCCACATGTCGGTAATGAAACCTCAACCACACGCCTCTATCGGCGACCACGTCAGGAGGCAATGATGAAAGAATGTTCTCCCGCGCCATTTGCACATTAAACGACACGAAATTACACAAAAATGTAAGAAAATGGTGACACCACTCCCGTGTGTCCGCACATGATCCGAGATGTGTCCGCACATATTAATATACAACATACGCGTACCACATCGAAAATACGTTTGAAAACTGAGGGAGATTACATGCCCTACGACTACAACAAGGGTGCCACACACAAAACGCCCGACCAGTACCTAACACATTTCTTCTACACCTTCCCAACATAACATATATGAGACACACAAGACAGCTACCAAACTGTCTTGTTGAGCCTGTGTTAAGGAGGACCCGATTCGCAGGGTATCCGTCGATTGACTTTTACCAGAATCGGTACACCTTCGCATATGTAGCGGCGGCGGAAGAGCGGAAGCTGCTGGAGGAGCGTGAGGCTGCTCTGGCGGATGATGCGAGGAAGCAGGAGGAGGAGCGTCAGGCTGCTCTGGCGGAGGCTGCGAGGAAGCAGGCGAAGGAGCGTGAGGCTGCTCTGGCGGAAGCTGCGAGGAAGCAGGAGGAGGAGCGTCAGGCTGCTCTGGCGGAGGCTGCGAGGAAGCAGGAGGAGGAGCGCGAGGCTGCTCGGGCTGCTGCGCAGAAGAAAGCGGAACTAGCGGCGCGCGAGGAGTATGTTCGGGCTGCTAGGGCGAAGCAGGGGGCGCTCCGATCACGGCTGGAGGACCTCGAGCACCGGCCGCAAGCTTCAACTTTGCTTTCGCGACCCGCCCATCGTCGTGTCGTGCCCCCTCCCACGCCCCAGGCGGCTCCGGAAGTGGCTGCTGCTCCCCAGTTTTCTGTGACGCTGGGTAGGCCGGCCGGGGATGCCGACGGCGCGTCGGACGACGAAGCCGAGGAGTACAGGTTTCACGCGGAAGACACAGCGGTCCTGTCCCGTCCCCTTTCCACGCCCACACACGTGATCACCTTCCATGATGCTGATCGAACTAGTGCCCTTTTTGCGTGGGCTGGTCTCCAACAAATTGTGCGTGACCGCTGTCCCGATTCTTATACAGACCGTGGTTTTGCACATCTTGTATCGAGTCCATTCCTCGACCAGCTTGAACCGTCCTTACGACAGAGTGTGTTTCGGTTAGTGTCTGCTCTCCGTAGGGCTTCTTTCACCGAGGGTCCCCAGGGAACAGCGGTGGTGGTACACAATGGGGGAATTCGGTTGCCGCTAGCTCGTACTGCAACTAACGAAGATTTTCAGCATGATCTGCAGCTCCCTCAGCAGGATTCTGCAAGCCGTGTCCATGCTTCCGGAGGGACCAAGGACTACAGTCTGTCGGCGGCTCCTGCCTCCACCAGCCGGAGGAGCCGTTGGGGTGATCAAGCCCCCACGGACAAGAGCGGGACGGCCG